CTGAAAAATAAATATTAAAAATTCTCTCTCTTCTCTCTCTCTCTCTCTCTCCCCCCCTCTCCTCTCTCCTCTCTCTCCTCTCTTTCTCTCTCTCTTTAAAAAAATAGTAATCTGTTATCCAAAGTATAGTACCTAAACTAATATAATTCCTTATACTAATAAGATAGTCATCACATAGCATATAAAACTAATATAATAACTGAACTTTGGAGCTTTAATATTAATGTAGTATGTATACTACAACATCTCAAAGTACTGAAAGAGCATCCTTGTGCATCCTGTGCATTTGCCATTAATATTTTATCCATACTGTGGCCTGTTAATGGGATATTATAGCTCTTTGTGGCTGTTCATATTAATATCCATTCAATAGCATCTAATGCTAATATAATAGATGCCCTATGGCCTTTAATACTAATTCAGTATCAATACTGTGATCCCTAATACTAAAATAATAATTCTCCTGTGGCCTTTTAATATTACATAAAGTTCATTTATAGCAATTATATGAATATAATTCCTGCCCTATGGCGTTTAGTACTAATATGATATCCATATCATAGCATCTATTAATGATCTAAAAGCAGTCCTCTTACCTTTGTACTGTTATGATATTCATATTATAGCATCTAAACTAATATAATTGTTCTCTTATGACCTTTAATTCCTATATATTTACCATAGCATCTAAATATAGTATAACATCTTTGTAGCTTTTAATACTAATGTAATGTTCTTACAATTACATCTAAAAGTGATATAATAGCTACCATGTGGTCTTTAATACTGATATTATATTCATGTTAGATCATTAAAAACTGATAGAGTAGCTTCCCTGTGGCTTTATTAGTAATATGACATTCTTATTACAGCATGTAAAATTGATATGATAGCTGCCTTTAATATTTATATGATATCCATTATATAGTGTCCAAAGCTGATATAATATCTGCAATGTGCATTTCATAGGTAATATGACATCCTTACTAAAGCATTTAAAAACATCATAAGCCAGGCTCAGTGGCACATGCCTGTAATCCCAGTGGTTTGGGAGGCTGAGACAGGAGAATTGTGAGTTCAAAGCCAGCCTCAGCCACTGTGAGGCATTAAGCAACTCAGTGAGACCCTGTCTCTAAACAAACTACAAAATAGGGCTGATGATGTTGCTCAGTGGTCAAGTGCCCCTGAGTTCAATCCCTGATAAATAAATAAATAAGTAAATAAATAAAATATAATAGCTGCATAATGGTATTTAATACTATTATTATATCTATATTATAGTATTGAAAATGAATATTATAGCTTCTCTGTGGCCTTTTGTATTAATGTAATCATAGAATTGCATTGAAAACGGATATAATAGCAGCCCTGTGGCTTTTAATTCTACTGTGATATACATGTGGCATCTAAAACTGATATAAGAGCTGTCTTATTGCCTTTAATACTCATATAATATCCGTATTGTAGCATCTGAAAATAATTTAAAAAACTACACAGTGGTGTTTTATGCTAATATGATATCCCTAGTGTAGAATCCTTACTAAAACAATAGGTGCCTTATAGCCTCTAATACTATTATTATATTCATAGTGTGCCTTCTGAAATTGATTTAATAGCTGCTCTGTCACTTTTAATATTTCTATGATATTCATACTATTGATCTAAAATTAATATCTATTCTGTGGCCTTTGATGCTAATATGATATCATACTATAGCATTCAAAACTAATATACTGGCAGTCCATTGTTGATTAAAATTAATATATTATTCACATTATATAATCTAAAGCTAAAGCAATTGCTGCCCTGTGGTCTTTAATACTATTATAATACCCATACTATAGCATCTAAAGCTAATATAATAGCTATACTGTGGCCTTTAATATTACTGTGATATCCTAGTATAGCATCTAAAACTAAATACAACTACCTTTTTGCCTTTAATTGATATAACATTAATATTGTAGCATCTATGTTTTTTTATTAATGTAATATTCATATTTAACATAAAAAATTAATAGCTTCCCTGAGGCCTTTAATACTAATATATGTACTATAGCTTCTAAAAATAATAAAAGTAATCAAATACGTGTTCTAGTGCCCTTTATATTAATATGATGTTGATATTATACCATGTAAGCATGACATAATAGCTTCCCTATGGTCTTTAATAATAATGTGATATTCAGGGGCTGGGGTTGTAGCTCAGTAGTAGACTGTTTGCCTAGCATGTGTGAGGTGCTGGATTCATTCCTCAACACCACATATAAATAAATAAATAAAGTGCATCAAAACCTAAAAATATTAAAAATAATAATAATGTGATATCCATACTATAGCATGTAAAACAAATGTAATAGCTGTCTTGTCCTTAATATACTGTCTATATTATAGATTCTAAAACTAATATGATAGGTGCCCTGTGGTCTTTAATATAAATGAACTATTCATACTATACCATATTAATATATATAATATATGTCCTATGGCCTTTAATACTAATGTGACAACCATATTTTGCATCTATTACAAATATAGTAGCTGCCACATGGCCTTTAATAGTAATATGATATCTGTAGGAGCTGGATTTATACCTCAGTGGTAGAGCATTTGCCTTGCACATGTGAGGCATTGGGTTTGATTCTCAGCACCACATAAGATAATAAAATAAAATAAAGATATTTTGTCCATCTTAAAAAAAAGAACACCTTTTAATTTGTTCAGAGTCAAATTAAATGTGTGAGTAAAACTGGAGCTTAGGAAGGTGTGATTGTTAAAACATCATGACCACTAAAGAGATGCTAAATACTTTGCCCAGAGACAATAGGAAAGAAGACTTGAGTGCATCTCAGAAATTGGCAAAACCACCCCAGTTTCAGGCTCAAAGATTTAATTTTTCTTTTTTTTTTGTACCAGAAATTGAACCCAGAGGTACTTAACCACTGAGTCACATCCTCAGCCTTTTTAAATATTTTATTTAGAGACAGGATCTCATTGAGTTGCTCAGGGCCTTGCTAAATTGCTGAGGCTGACTTTGAACTTGCAATCCTCTTGCCTCAGCCTACTAAGCTGCTGGGATTACAGTCAGGCACCATCTTGCCTTGCTCAAAGTTTTAAAAATAAAAATTCCTTTGAGAAGAGATCAGTGAGGCACCATGATTGAAGAGAGAGGCCTAAGAGGTTATTTCACCATGCTTAGCTGCCCAGGCACTCAGAGGTTGCTGTAGTCATGGTTTTAGGAGGTTTGTCTACTGCTTGAGATGGTGGCAGATCTTGGTATCAACTACATGGTGCTGGTTTTTTAAGTTTGCAAGACATTGGCATTAGGGGGTCATGGAGGCTCCCACTGTGATTTCAAAGGACAACCTGGGAGGTCGGGAAAAATGTATTAGAGTTGGAATACCATCAGGCAGCCCCTGAGAGGATGAAGAAAACTATAGTGGGGACTCCTGAGATTAAGAGATGCTAGTAACATGGATCATTTTCCAAGGAAACCCATAGGAATTGAACAAACACAAGTCAAGCTAGGCCATGTGGACCGCTATTAACAAAGCCATAGGAGTGGAGATGCACAAGTCCTTTGGAGAGAATATCACAATGTTATTTGCCCCAAATATGCTTGATGTGGAACTACAGATCTTGTTTGCCCAGCTGGATTTTGGTCTTGTTTTGGTCCCATCTCTTCTTTCTATGTCCCTATTTATCACTTGTAGAATGGAAATGTTTAATCCATGCCATTATATATTGGATTATATAGCTTGCTTTGATTTTTATGGGGTCTCATGCTGAGTTTTCCTTAAGTTTCAGAAGAGGTTTTGGACTTAGACTTTTAGGGAATACTGGAACTGTTAAGAACATGTGGAGTCCTGGATATGAACTCAATGTATTTTGCATCATGAGATGGACATGAACTTTTGGGGGCCAAGGGCAGAATGTTATGGTTTAGATATGAAGTGTTACTCTAAAACTCGTGTGTGAGAAAAGGCAAGAAAGATTTAAAGGTGAAATTATTTGGTTATGAGAGCCTTAACCTAGTGAGTGCATTAATCCACTGATAGTGTTTAACTGGATGGTAACTGTAGGAAGGTAGTGTGTAGCTGGAGAAGGTGGGTCACTGGGGGCATTTCTTTGGAGTATATATTTGTCTCTGGTGAGCATAACTCTCTATCTGCTTCCTCTTTGCCATGTTCTGATTTGCTTCCTACCTCTATATCGTTTGGTCAAGAGCTGTGGAGTTGGTCTTCTATGGACTGAGACATGGAAAATATAAGTGTCAAATAAAATTTTAATTCTCTAAAAATTGTTCTTGTCAGGAATTTTTGACACAATGGCAAAAAAGCTTACAAAAACAATACTGTACTATCTAGAAATAATATAATAGTGGCCCTTTGGCCTCTTATATCAGTAATATAGCATCTAAAATTAATAGTTACCCTGTGGCATTTAATCATATTATGATATAAATACTATAGCGTCCAAAACTTAGATAATACCTGCAATGGCCTTTGATACTACTATGATGTCCATAATAATGCAAGTAAAACTAATATTATAGCTTCTCTGTGGCCTCTGATATTAATGTAGTATCAATAATGTGGTCACAGGGTAGCTATTATATTACTTTTATAGATCACTGTATGGATATTAATATTAAATGTAAGGAAAATAAAAGAGACATAGAGAGAAGATGCAGAGTCAGAATGACAGAATGGCAGAATGGTCAAGCTGCCAGCTTTATTTATATCAATAGGTTGCATTAGGTCATTGGCATCAGTAATATACTATTGTTTATTGTGTTACTTGGAAGGTTATAGAGTTAGCATCGTTATGCAGCTTATTCCTCAGTTACATTCTACAGTTACAATATGCAATGTTAGAAGCTTTGTGTAGCTATCAATAAAGTTTGTTGTTTACAGTTACTGTTAGATGGACAGGTCCAGGAGCATGGGAGCTTGGTGAAACATTTTTATTGTATAACAAGAGTGTTTCTTTATTCCCAGGAGCTGTGTGCCTGAGATCAAGGCCAAAGCTGATAAGACTCCAGCACAAAGCCTTCTAATGCAGGACATTGCTATAGCAGGTAGGCATCCCGTGTCTTTGCACAGAAGTTTTCCTAGCATCCAGGCATTCCACATCTTTGCACAGAAACTTCCTAGCCACCAAGTATGCCACATTCATGAAGCCATCAGAGACCCCAGTCCCAAACACAGAACCCTTACAATTAAGGCCAAAGGGAAGCTGTTATATCAGTTTTACATGCTATAATGTGGACATAATATTAGTTTTAAAACTGAAGAGCTGCCTGTGACCTTTTAATACAAACATGTCATCCATACTATGAAATTATAATGGATATAATAGCTCTTTTGTGGACTGTATAACTAATATGGTATCCATATTAAGGCATCAAAAACTGACATAGTAGCTGAAATGTGTAATTTAGTGTTAATATTATATCCATACTATGGACCTAAAACTAATCACATACCTTTCCTGTGGTCTTTCATTTTAATACAATATCCATATTATAGCATCTAAAACTAATATAATAGCTGCCCTGTGGCTTTTAGAACTAATATGATATCCAAATTATAACATTTGCCAAAGACCCTTAATATTAACATGATATTGATAAACTAGCATCTAAAACTAATAAAATATTTGCCTGTGACCTTTAATACTAATATGATATTCACATATACCATCTAAAGCAATATATTAACTTGCCTATGGCCTTAAATATTAATATAATATTCATACTGTGACATAAAAAACTATATAATAGCTACCCTGTGAATTTTTTTTAAATATTGTTTTAGTAGTTGATGGACACAATTCCTTTACTTTATTTATGTTTTTTAATGTGGTGCTGAGGATTGAACTCAGTGCCTCACATGTGCTAGGCAGGCGCTCTACAAATGAGCCACAACCCCAGACCAACTACCCTGTGACTTTAATAATAATATAACATCCATAACTTTTAATAATAATATAACCCATAAAACTAATATTGTAAATTCCCTGTGTATTATATTAATATAATCATTATATTATCATTATATTATTATTAATTATTATATTAATATAACATCCTTGGTATAGTATCTAAAACTGAATAGCTCTTCTATGGCCTTTAATACTAATAAAACATCCATACTATAGCTGTTAAAAGTGGCATAATAGTTTTCTTGCAGCCTTTCATAGTATACTAACATGATATCCATACTCTACCATCTAAATATAATAAAATAGCTTCCCTGGAGTCTTTAATAATAATGTAATATAGTACTACAGCATCTAAAACAAATAGAATAGCTGCCATGTGGCCTTCAATACTATCTTATTCATATTATTAGATAATACTGACAAAATAGCTGCACTGTGGATCTTTAACACAAACATGATAGCCATATAATGGCATGTAAAACTGATACAACAGCTGTCCTGTGACCTTTAGTACTAACTTTATCCATATGATAGCTTTGAAAATTGATATATTACCTGCCTGTGGATTTAGTGTTAATATTTTATCCTTACTATGGCATCTAAAACTAATTTAATAGGTTCCCTGTGGATTTTAGTACTAATATAATATTCATATTATAGAATCTAAATCTAATACAATATCTGCCTTGTGATCTTTAATACTAATAAGATATCCATACAATAGAACCTAAAATTAATATTATAGGTGTCCTGTGGGCTTAAATACTGATATGATATTCATATTATAGCATCAAAATTGAATATAGTAACTGCCTGTGTTTTTTAATTCTAATATGATATGCATATTATTATATCAAAACCTAAGATAATGTATGCCATGAAGCTTTTAATAATAAGATATTCATATTATAGTATGTGAAATGAATAGCTGCACTGCCTCCTTTATTACTAATATAATACTCATCCTTTAGCATCTAAATCTGATATAATAATTGCCTTGTTGCCTTTATTACTAATATAATATATAATAATATCTAATTACTACTAATATAATATCCATAAAATAGTGTATAACTGTAATGTAATAGCTGCAAAGTGGCTTTTATTATTAACTCAAACTCCATTCTATAACTCCTTAAACTAGTAGCTTGTTGTGGCCATTAATATTTATAAAAGAAGTATCCTGTGGCTTCTAGTACTAATATAATAGGTAGCCTTGAATATTAATATAATATCCATATTATGAACTCAAAAACAAATATACTAGCTGCCCTGTGATCTTCAATATTAATATACAATCTGTACTATAGCATATAAAACTAATATCATGGCTGCTTTGTGGTCTTTAACTAAGATGATATCCAAACTAAAGCATTTGAAGCTTACATAATTGTTGCCCTTTGGCATTTAATATTAATAGTATATCCATAACAGAACATCTAGAACTAATATACCTTTAATACTAATACTGTATTTCCATTGGTATTAAAGATCACATTATGTATGTTATATTAATATTGAAGGCCACAGTTCAGCTATTCTATTGGTATTAAATGTGACTGGGTGGGTGTGTATATACTAATATTTATGACCTCTAATACTAACATAAAATCCAAAATATAGCATTGGAAACAGACATAATATTTTCCCTATGGCCTTTAATACTAATATAATGTACATATCAGAATATCTGAAACTGATATAATGACTACCCTGTGCCTTTAGTATTAATATGATATTCACACTATATCATTTAAAGCTAATGTAATAGCTGCTCTGTGTTTTCCAATACTAACATGATATTCATATCATATCATCTAAAAACAACATAACCACTGCCTTGTGCCTTGAATACTAATACAGTATTCATGCTATACCCAATAAAATAATGGCTACCCTTCAGCCTTTAATAATAATATGATGTGAGTATACTAGCATCTAAAATTGATAATAGCTGCTCCATGGCCTTTAATATTGATATAACATCCATACTTGGCTTATGAAACTAAAATAATAGTTGTCCTTTGTTCTTTTAAAACAAACACAGAATCCATACTGTAGTATCTACAACTGATATAAATAATAGCTGCTCTGTGGCCTTTATAACTAATATGATTTCCATACTATAGTATCTAAAATTAATATAATTGCTGCTCTGAAGAATTTAAGATTAACACAATGTGCAAACTGTAGCACCTAAAACTACTTGCTGTCCTGTGTACTTTAACACCAATATGGTATCCCATATTATAGAATCAAATATTATACATTAAGTGTACTGTGATTTTAATAGTTATATATTCATACTGTATCAACTAAAGCTGATATAATATCTGCCCTGTGATGTTGAATAATTATGCAATAGCCATACTGTCCATACTAAAGTCTCTTAAACTAATATAATGGTGAGTCTCTGGCCTTTAGTACTTATAAAAACATGTACACTTTAGCATGTCAAACTGTTCTAATAGCTGCCCTGTGGCCTTTAATATTAATGTAATATCCATATTACAGCATCTAAGGCTCATAAGATAGATGAACTTTAACCTTTTGTGAAATATATATGTATATATTATATATTAACATATAATAATACAGTAATATATTGATATATTTATTAATATATTAATATATTTTATATATTAATTAAAGGTTAATATAACATTAACTTTTTAATGTGATATATATATATACATATAATTATATTTATATTTATATTTCAGTCTCTGAAACAAATGTAATACCTTCTCTGAGTCCTTTATTACTAATATCCACAGTGTAGCATCTGACATCTGATATATTAGTTGCACTATGGCCATTAATATTAATATGATATCCATGCTACAGCATCAAAAGTTTAAAAAAATGTTGACTTTTGGCCTTTAATACTAACATAATATGTATACTATAGCATCTTAAACTACTATGAGAGCCATCCTGTTGCCTTTACTACTGTATCCATAATCTGGCTTCTAAAACTGATGTAATAGCTGCCCTATTCCTTTAGTATTAATGTAACATATTTCCTACATCAAAACTTGAAGAATAGCTACCCTGAAATTTCAGTATTACTATAATGTCCATACTATTGCATCTAAAACTAATACAATATCTGCCCTGTGTACTGTGTACTGTAGCATCTAAAACTGATGTAACAGTTGTCCAATTGCCTTTGGTATTAATATAATATTCACACTAATGCATCTACAACAAATTTAGTAGCTGTCCTGTCTTTTAATAATATTATATTCATACTATAGTATCAGAACTGATATTATAGTTGCTCTATGGTCTTTCATATTAATGTGATAATCATACTCTTGCATTGAAAACCGATACCATAACTATCCTCTAGCTTTTAATTTAATGTGATATATATCATTTAAAATGATATATATCACACTGCTATTCTTGCTTATCCACTGCTCTTCGCGTGCACGACATTACCTCACAAGAATGCTACGGTCATCCTGCTGCACATCTTGAGTACCTCCAACAAGGTGAGTGCAGGTTTCTAATTGGTGGGTTAGGGTTAGGGTTAGGGTTAGGGTTAGGGTTAGGGGTTAGGGGTTAGGGGTTAGGGTTAGGGTTAGGGTTAGGGTTAGGGTTAGGGTTAGGGTTAGGGTTAGGGTTAGGGTTAGGGGTTAGGGTTAGGGTTAGGGTTAGGGTTAGGGTTAGGGTTAGGGTTAGGGTTAGGGTTAGGGTTAGGGTTAGGGTTAGGGTTAGGGTTAGGGTTAGGGTTAGGGTTAGGGTTAGGGTTAGGGTTAGGGTTAGGGTTAGGGTTAGGGTTAGGGTTAGGGTTAGGGTTAGGGTTAGGGTTAGGGTTAGGGTTAGGGTTAGGGTTAGGGTTAGGGTTAGGGTTAGGGTTAGGGTTAGGGTTAGGGTTAGGGTTAGGGTTAGGGTTAGGGTTAGGGTTAGGGTTTAGGGTTAGGGTTAGGGTTAGGGTTAGGGTTAGGGTTAGGGTTAGGGTTAGGGTTAGGGTTAGGGTTAGGGTTAGGGTTAGGGTTAGGGTTAGGGTTAGGGTTAGGGTTAGGGTTAGGGTTAGGGTTAGGGTTAGGGTTAGGGTTAGGGTTAGGGTTAGGGTTAGGGTTAGGGTTAGGGTTAGGGTTAGGGTTAGGGTTAGGGTTAGGGTTAGGGTTAGGGTTAGGGTTAGGGTTAGGGTTAGGGTTAGGGTTAGGGTTAGGGTTAGGGTTAGGGTTAGGGTTAGGGTTAGGGTTAGGGTTAGGGTTAGGGTTAGGGTTAGGGTTAGGGTTAGGGTTAGGGTTAGGGTTAGGGTTAGGGTTAGGGTTAGGGTTAGGGTTAGGGTTAGGGTTAGGGTTAGGGTTAGGGTTAGGGTTAGGGTTAGGGTTAGGGTTAGGGTTAGGGTTAGGGTTAGGGTTAGGGTTAGGGTTAGGGTTAGGGTTAGGGTTAGGGTTAGGGTTAGGGTTAGGGTTAGGGTTAGGGTTAGGGTTAGGGTTAGGGTTAGGGTTAGGGTTAGGGTTAGGGTTAGGGTTAGGGTTAGGGTTAGGGTTAGGGTTAGGGTTAGGGTTAGGGTTAGGGTTAGGGTTAGGGTTAGGGTTAGGGTTAGGGTTAGGGTTAGGGTTAGGGTTAGGGTTAGGGTTAGGGTTAGGGTTAGGGTTAGGGTTAGGGTTAGGGTTAGGGTTAGGGTTAGGGTTAGGGTTAGGGTTAGGGTTAGGGTTAGGGTTAGGGTTAGGGTTAGGGTTAGGGTTAGGGTTAGGGTTAGGGTTAGGGTTAGGGTTAGGGTTAGGGTTAGGGTTAGGGTTAGGGTTAGGGTTAGGGTTAGGGTTAGGGTTAGGGTTAGGGTTAGGGTTAGGGTTAGGGTTAGGGTTAGGGTTAGGGTTAGGGTTAGGGTTAGGGTTAGGGTTAGGGTTAGGGTTAGGGTTAGGGTTAGGGTTAGGGTTAGGGTTAGGGTTAGGGTTAGGGTTAGGGTTAGGGTTAGGGTTAGGGTTAGGGTTAGGGTTAGGGTTAGGGTTAGGGTTAGGGTTAGGGTTAGGGTTAGGGTTAGGGTTAGGGTTAGGGTTAGGGTTAGGGTTAGGGTTAGGGTTAGGGTTAGGGTTAGGGTTAGGGTTAGGGTTAGGGTTAGGGTTAGGGTTAGGGTTAGGGTTAGGGTTAGGGTTAGGGTTAGGGTTAGGGTTAGGGTTAGGGTTAGGGTTAGGGTTAGGGTTAGGGTTAGGGTTAGGGTTAGGGTTAGGGTTAGGGTTAGGGTTAGGGTTAGGGTTAGGGTTAGGGTTAGGGTTAGGGTTAGGGTTAGGGTTAGGGTTAGGGTTAGGGTTAGGGTTAGGGTTAGGGTTAGGGTTAGGGTTAGGGTTAGGGTTAGGGTTAGGGTTAGGGTTAGGGTTAGGGTTAGGGTTAGGGTTAGGGTTAGGGTTAGGGTTAGGGTTAGGGTTAGGGTTAGGGTTAGGGTTAGGGTTAGGGTTAGGGTTAGGGTTAGGGTTAGGGTTAGGGTTAGGGTTAGGGTTAGGGTTAGGGTTAGGGTTAGGGTTAGGGTTAGGGTTAGGGTTAGGGTTAGGGTTAGGGTTAGGGTTAGGGTTAGGGTTAGGGTTAGGGTTAGGGTTAGGGTTAGGGTTAGGGTTAGGTTAGGGTTAGGGTTAGGGTTAGGGTTAGGGTTAGGGTTAGGGTTAGGGTTAGGGTTAGGGTTAGGGTTAGGGTTAGGGTTAGGGTTAGGGTTAGGGTTAGGGTTAGGGTTAGGGTTAGGGTTAGGGTTAGGGTTAGGGTTAGGGTTAGGGTTAGGGTTAGGGTTAGGGTTAGGGTTAGGGTTAGGGTTAGGGTTAGGGTTAGGGTTAGGGTTAGGGTTAGGGTTAGGGTTAGGGTTAGGGTTAGGGTTAGGGTTAGGGTTAGGGTTAGGGTTAGGGTTAGGGTTAGGGTTAGGGTTAGGGTTAGGGTTAGGGTTAGGGTTAGGGTTAGGGTTAGGGTTAGGGTTAGGGTTAGGGTTAGGGTTAGGGTTAGGGTTAGGGTTAGGGTTAGGGTTAGGGTTAGGGTTAGGGTTAGGGTTAGGGTTAGGGTTAGGGTTAGGGTTAGGGTTAGGGTTAGGGTTAGGGTTAGGGTTAGGGTTAGGGTTAGGGTTAGGGTTAGGGTTAGGGTTAGGGTTAGGGTTAGGGTTAGGGTTAGGGTTAGGGTTAGGGTTAGGGTTAGGGTTAGGGTTAGGGTTAGGGTTAGGGTTAGGGTTAGGGTTAGGGTTAGGGTTAGGGTTAGGGTTAGGGTTAGGGTTAGGGTTAGGGTTAGGGTTAGGGTTAGGGTTAGGGTTAGGGTTAGGGTTAGGGTTAGGGTTAGGGTTAGGGTTAGGGTTAGGGTTAGGGTTAGGGTTAGGGTTAGGGTTAGGGTTAGGGTTAGGGTTAGGGTTAGGTTAGGGTTAGGGTTAGGGTTAGGGTTAGGGTTAGGGTTAGGGTTAGGGTTAGGGTTAGGGTTAGGGTTAGGGTTAGGGTTAGGGTTAGGGTTAGGGTTAGGGTTAGGGTTAGGGTTAGGGTTAGGGTTAGGGTTAGGGTTAGGGTTAGGGTTAGGGTTAGGGTTAGGGTTAGGGTTAGGGTTAGGGTTAGGGTTAGGGTTAGGGTTAGGGTTAGGGTTAGGGTTAGGGTTAGGGTTAGGGTTAGGGTTAGGGTTAGGGTTAGGGTTAGGGTTAGGGTTAGGGTTAGGGTTAGGGTTAGGGTTAGGGTTAGGGTTAGGGTTAGGGTTAGGGTTAGGGTTAGGGTTAGGGTTAGGGTTAGGGTTAGGGTTAGGGTTAGGGTTAGGGTTAGGGTTAGGGTTAGGGTTAGGGTTAGGGTTAGGGTTAGGGTTAGGGTTAGGGTTAGGGTTAGGGTTAGGGTTAGGGTTAGGGTTAGGGTTAGGGTTAGGGTTAGGGTTAGGGTTAGGGTTAGGGTTAGGGTTAGGGTTAGGGTTAGGGTTAGGGTTAGGGTTAGGGTTAGGGTTAGGGTTAGGGTTAGGGTTAGGGTTAGGGTTAGGGTTAGGGTTAGGGTTAGGGTTAGGGTTAGGGTTAGGGTTAGGGTTAGGGTTAGGGTTAGGGTTAGGGTTAGGGTTAGGGTTAGGGTTAGGGTTAGGGTTAGGGTTAGGGTTAGGGTTAGGGTTAGGGTTAGGGTTAGGGTTAGGGTTAGGGTTAGGGTTAGGGTTAGGGTTAGGGTTAGGGTTAGGGTTAGGGTTAGGGTTAGGGTTAGGGTTAGGGTTAGGGTTAGGGTTAGGGTTAGGGTTAGGGTTAGGGTTAGGGTTAGGGTTAGGGTTAGGGTTAGGGTTAGGGTTAGGGTTAGGGTTAGGGTTAGGGTTAGGGTTAGGGTTAGGGTTAGGGTTAGGGTTAGGGTTAGGGTTAGGGTTAGGGTTAGGGTTAGGGTTAGGGTTAGGGTTAGGGTTAGGGTTAGGGTTAGGGTTAGGGTTAGGGTTAGGGTTAGGGTTAGGGTTAGGGTTAGGGTTAGGGTTAGGGTTAGGGTTAGGGTTAGGGTTAGGGTTAGGGTTAGGGTTAGGGTTAGGGTTAGGGTTAGGGTTAGGGTTAGGGTTAGGGTTAGGGTTAGGGTTAGGGTTAGGGTTAGGGTTAGGGTTAGGGTTAGGGTTAGGGTTAGGGTTAGG